CCCCCGGCGGGCATCGCCCTCGCGTAGGGAGTGGGCACTCGGGCGAGGCTCGGAGCCGGGGCTTACTGCAGGCAGCCTCAGGGCCTTCCCGCCTAACGAGAAAAGAACAGAAGGCGAGTGCTCTTCCACGGTCAGGCCCCCAGAGACAGTTCGGGAGACAGCAACCACGCCCTGCTCTCCCTGGGGCAGTGGTCCCCTCTGGAAACCGCAGTTTGAATTCACCAAATAACGCCGCGCGGACCTTGTACCCGCACGGTGCACCGCCCATGGTTAGTCAATGGTATTTCCGTAAAGCAAAGAGAATTCGCGACAACTTTGCATCAGCCCACACCCTGTCCCCACCTTATTTATTTTGAGACAGGGTCTCGCTCTGTCGCCCAGGCTGGAGGTTGGTGGTGCGGTCGCTGCTCAGGGCAGCCTTCACCTCCTGGACTCAAGCCACGTGGAGCTGTGACTGTGCTGCTCAGGCTGTTCTCAAACTCCTGACCTAAATGATCCTTCCACCTTAGCCTCTAGAGTAGTTAAACGCTTTAAATTATATTTTGTGCCTCATCCTCTTCCTTTTAAAAGGTTGATGTTTTGGCTGGGCTCGGTGGCTCACCCTTGTAATCCCAGCGCTTTGGGAAGCCGAGGCGGGTGGATCACGAGGTCAGGAGTTCAAGATCAGCCTGCCCAACACAGTGAAACCCCATCTCTACTAAAAATACAAAAATTAGCTGGGTGTGGTGGCAGGTGCCCGTAATCGCAGCTACTTGGCAGGCTGAGGCAGAAGAATCGCTTGAAACCGGGAGGTGGAGGTTGCAGTGAGCCGAGATCGCACCACTGCACTCTAGCATGGGGCAGCAGAGCCAGACTCCGTCTCAAAAAAAAAAACAATGTTGATATTTTTATTTTTTGAGACACAGTCTCACTTTGTCACCCAGGCCGAAGTACAATGGCAAGATCATAGCTCACTGCAGCCTCAGCCTCTTGGACTCAAGGGATCCTCCTATTTTTTTTTTTGGAAATGGAGTTTCATGTTGCCCAGGCCTGGGGTGCATGGCACCATCTTGGCTCACTGCAACCTCCGCCTCCCGGGTTTAAGTGATTCTCCTGCCTCACCTTACCCAGTAGCTGGGATTACAGGCGCCCACCACCACACCCAGCTAATTTTTGTATTTTTAGTAGAGACAGGGTTTCACCAAGTTGGCCGCGCTGGTCTCAAACTCCTAATCTCAGGTGATTCACCCACCCCGGCCTCCCAGAGTGCTGGGATTGCAGGCGTGAGCCACTGTGCCGGCCCAGGGTCGGCATTTCTTCATGGTGAAGGGAAAAAAGAAACGTAGCAGATGCTACCTGAACTGGGCAACCCAGCTCAGCATGGCTGGTGATGGCATAAGGTGGTGTTGTGTGCCTCCTGATGCATGCAGCAGCAAGGGCACAGCGTCCCTTCTGTGGCATTCCTGCAAAACATGCTCACCCCGACTCTACTCATAAAAGAAACACCAGATAATCCCAAATTAAGGGACACCCTGCTAAACATTTAGGCAATCTTCTTCCACAATGTCGGTGTCATGAAAGAGACAAAGAGAGGCTGAGGAGACAACCACAAGGCACCACGTGGGTCTGGCATGATTGAGACAACTGGCAGAGATCGGGCATACACTGTATTAGCTAACAGTATCGTCCCAATAGCGAACCGCCCACGTGTGATCACTACAGTGGGGTGACATCAGGAAAGCTCCTTGATCTTCGGAGATACATACTTAAATACTTGGCAGTTTGTGTTGTGATGTGTTGTCTGCAGCCCACCCTTGGACACTTCAAAATCTGACAATGATCATAATGTGTAGCAACCTACTGAGAGGGAAGATGGAAGCGTTAATGCCTGGCCTTTGGTTCTCTGCAGCACCATGTGGCTGGCAAGGATGAGCGACTTACAAAGGTGGCAGGAAGGGAGCTATTGGAAATAGATGTTGGAAATAAATGCTCAGTGCCACAAAGAAAAATCAGCACTGAGACAAAGGATCTTTCGGCAACGCAATTTTTACTTCCTGGACTGCAGGATAGATACCCTTGCTAGCCATTGTGCCACGACAGCACAGTGAACAAAGGAGAGCAGACATACTTATCCCTCACGCACTTGGGGTCATCCTTACTGCTGTGTCTGATCTCCGTTGGCTGCAGCCAGACCTCACAATCTAAACTAAAACCCAACTGGCTAACAACTTGAAACTTTATCTCAACAGGTAAAAACAATGGAGAGCTGGGACAGGCCTGTGAGGACGTCCAGCACAGAGATCTTGGTTAAAGTTCAAGGACATAGAATGTACTACATGCCTGTAAGCATGGCGTGTCTAACAGCTACATAGGATAGGGCCTCTAGCAAAAAGGCAAGAAGGCTTTTGAACAAAGTTTTTAAAACAAACGATTATTTCTAACACTTATGAATTTTTCTTAAACAAGAAAGGAAACTTTGAAGAGGAACTTTTCCACTTCCCACAGGAGCCATGAAGAAAGAGGTTGGTCTATTGTCTGAGAGAGATTGGCATGAGGTGAAGGTGCCAGCTGTGCTTGGCATAAGAAGTATAGAAAACACAGCTGGTCGCGGTGGCTCACACCTGTAATCCCAGCACTTTGGGAGGCTGAGGTGTGTGGATCATGAGGTCAGGGGATCAAGACCATCCTGGCCAACACGGTGAAACCTTGTCTCTTAAAAAAAAAAAAAGAAGAAGTAGTATGGAAAACACCAGGCACAGGGAAGCAAGGAGCCAAAATTGCACCTCGTGGCCTCAAGAGCCATGTTTTTGAAGTGAGTTCTGCTGATCTGCAGAGTGAGGAAGCTGCACTGGGAAAATTCAAACTGATTACTGAGGATGTTCAGTACAAAAACGCCTGACCAGCTTTCATGGCATGAATCTTACCTGTGACCAAAAAAAAAGACCACAGTTGAAGCTCAGATGGCTGTCAAAACCACAGACGGTCATTTCCTCCTCTGCTCTGTGTTGGTTTCCTGACAGCGGTGTGGCAAGCAGACGGGGAGGACCTCTCGCAGGCAGGCCTGTCGAATCCAGAAAAGATGGCAGAAATCATGGCTCGATTACCCAAAAGAAGTGGTCCGTAAATTGATGCCAGACAGCACTGGGAGACAGATAGAGAAGGCTCCCTAGTCTATCCAGTAATCCTCTCCAGGACATCTTCCTTAGAAAAGTAAAAATACTGGCCGGGCGTGGTAGCTCACGCCTGTAATCCCAGCACTTTGTCACTTTGGGAGGCCGAGGCAGGTGGATCAGGAGATCAAGAGATGGAGACCATCCTGGCCAATGTGGTGAAACCCTGTGTCTACTAAAAATACAAAAAAAAAAAAAAAATTAGCTGGGCTTAGTGGTGCACCTGTAGTCCCAGCTACTCGGGAGGCTGAGGCAGGAGAATCGCTTGAATCCAGGAGGTGGAGGTTGCAGTGAGCCGAGATTGTGCCACTGCACTCCAGCCTGGCAACAGAGCGAGACCCCGTCAAAAAAGAAGAAAGGGAAAGAGAGAGAGAAAGAAAGAAAAAGAAAAAGGAAGGAGGGAGGGAGGGAGGGGAGAAGGGGGAGGGGAGGGAAGATGCAGAAGAAGCCCCGACTTGCACTGGGAAAACTCCCGCTTCATGGTGAAGGTCACTGTCCTGGAAAAGCTACTGGTGATGAGGCCATTGCTAAATGTGAACAAGCTGATGGATATGAACCCCCAATAACCTGTTTAAAATTCATGCTTTGAATGCTGACAACTAAACTAACGTTTGATCCAGCAATCCCCTTACTGGGTACATGCCCAAAGGAATGTGAATTATTCTATCGTTAAAACACATGCAGGCCGGGCGCGGTGGCTCACGACTGTAATCCCAGCACTTTGGGAGGCCAAGGCAGGTAGATCACGTGAGGTCAGGAGTTCGAGACCAGTCTGGCCAACACAGTGAAACCCCAACTCTACTAAAAATACAAAAATTAGCCAGGTGTGGTGGCGGGCGCCTGTAATCCAGCTACTCAGGATGCTAAGGCAGGAGAATCACTTGAACCCGGGACGCAGAGGTTGCAGTGAGCTGGGATCGTGCTGCTGCACTTCAGCCTGGGCAACAGAGCGAGACGCCATCTCAAAAACGACACCAGACAAAATAACTACCAGGTACTCGGCTTAATACCTGAATGAGGAAATAATGTGTACAATAAACCCCCATTACATCAGTTTACCTGCATAACGAACCTGTACATGCACCCCGAACCTAAAATAAACGTTTAAGAATAAATAAATACAGCTAACACTTGAAGACTCTAGAATAAATCCATAGGATGTGCAGTGTATTTGTCTGCAATTTTTTTAAGCTTGAAATTTTT